GTAATTTATTGTACATCTGAAGAAGGCCGTATGTTGGGCGAAAGGTTCTGGTAACAACACTGGCGAGATAATAATTTCGTTATTAATGAACTTATATTCATTGACATAAGCATTTAATTAAAATATTTAAGATTTCGCAGTACATTATTCTTTATAAAAATATCTTTCCTTTCATTTCCATTTTTTTTATTTTGCAATATAAAAAAACAACATAATGTTGTACTGAGTTTTAATGAATATATTCCAAGCTTGGAAAAAGTTTTTATAAACTTATTTTGTGTACTAAATGGCATATTTTCAAACAGGAAGTAACTTAAATAGAGCGAATTTGTTGTAAGAGACGGTATAAATACCGAATAATTTACGCCTCTGTTTTTGGCTTGCTTATCAGGGTGAACGCGATCGTGGACACCACACTTAGAAATAGTGCACCCGAGTCGTCCACATTTGGGACGATCTCAACCGGAATACAATGGAAGCGCTTCGCTCTGGCAGAATTTGGTGTGAATTTTAGTAAATATAAATTCTTAATTTGGGGTGAATTAATATTTTGGGGGAATTAACTGAAAACATCCAATAGATTTTAATGTGTTAAGAATATAGGGTGTATTGTAAGATAAAACATTTAAGCTATTCTAATGTAGAAGTTTGACAAAAAGAAAACAAAGAGATTAACGGCAAATAGATGAACAGAAAAGAGGTAAAAAATGAAATAAAAGCAAAACTTTGGGAAGCCGATTGTTTGTATGCGTTTGTGTATGCGTGCGCGCGCGTGTGTGTGTGTGTGTGTGTGTGTGTGTGAGAGAGAGAGAGAGAGAGAGAGAGAATACAACATAGATTTTAATCTACGGACACAAAATCAATTCAAAGCTGACGATACAGACAACAACTATTATGTCGAAAAGAAAGATGGCGGCGATAAGACACGTGATAAACAAAAGATGCAAATCATGTTGACGACTGATTTCCAACGAATGAACAAATTCACAAGCCATGGCTGATTATTTTGATTTATTTTTCTCTTTTTTCTTCTTCTTCTTTCGCATTTGAAATGTTTCCTTTATCTTTTGCCTGTCTTTCTCTCTTTGTCTTGCTCGATTGATTCGCTTTGTTTGCCAACACCCAGGCTTTCCCTTACACGAGTTTATAATTGCCCTCCCACATTTCTCACAGCCTCTCACCCCTGAATTGCATCTGATAAGTTCATAACGGAATATGGGCCCAACAGGAAAGAGAGGTCTATAAAATGTTCTCATTAATTATTTCCCCTGATTTATTTTTGAAAGAAAAAGCAGAAAACATCGTATAAACAAAGCGACAAACACATTTTGCTGTTTAAATCTTGTAGAAGAAGAAAGGGAAGGAAACACTGATACTCTTCTTTAGAGAAATAAAGAAAAACATGGGATATTTTTAAAGTTATAAATGAATTTGTTTCTAAATTCTTGTTAACTTTTTTATATTGTTTTTATCGTGCTGGTGCAACCTATCCACAAGATTAAAATTCTAAATCGTTCGGTGAGAATCAAGATCACACTAGGTTTTAAAGAAGACGCTCCTTCATCACATCTTAAGACTGGCGCTACAAAATCACAAAGATCTTTATCAAATAACAAAAACACATCACATGAAGACTTTCAACAACAACTAAAAGAGAAAATAATAATATAGTCACGATGTTAACTTTTCACACGACTAAAAACAGAAGATTTAGAAGAAAATTCCCATTAATAATACAAAGAGCGATAAAAGGACTTGAGGAATTTATTTTCCTGGGGAAAAAAACTGTTTAAAAAAAAGTATTTTCAACCGACAGTAATGCTAAACTGTTTTGTCAAATGAATGTTTCCTCTACGGAAATGATTATTACCCGCTGTACAACCCCAAAATATTCTTCTTATTAGCATTTTCAAAATTTAAAATAAAAATTATATACACTAAAATTAGTCTATTCATTTAGACGAAATTAAATTTAGATTAAGATAGGTATCGCACTAAAAACTGAACAAATCAAAATAATCAATAATCGATTTGAAATGTTAATACATATTGATAATCTTCTGAATGTTTAAATTGCCCCAATTCGAAATGGCATTTTTAACAATTGAATCTTTGTTACAAGAGCAACTTCAAAATATTCTCTATATTTTAGTGGCCTTTTACATACATTGATGTGTCAAAAGTCATAGAATAGAAATATTTAAATATAATGCTAGGTGGCGACATAATACATTGACGTTATAGAACTATATCCAGAATTATATAAGTTGTGCTCTGACATATGGTGAGTCAGTTGAACAAGGTGTTTATGGTAAGGCGATTTGAATCATAGAAGTTTGAATGTAACAAGATCGTGGGTGCGAGACGGATTGGAAATTCCATTTCTAAAATGATAGAAATATTTGACATCCTTCGATTATAGTGTCATGCGTGTATCGGAAACACCTGATGGAAGCAATTACAACCCGTCATTGACCACGAGTCCTTAATGATCGTGGCAAGAGGCGACTGGGTAGAATTGTCTGTGGTAACGGACAAGCGACAGTGGCTCAAATCAAAACCACATTTAACGAAGGAGGTATCAGATGAATATCCAGCAGGTCAGTTCAGCATTCTTTTAATTTCCATCAGATATGGGAGGAAACAAAACTCGCCAGGATTGCCAATGATAAAAACCACAAAACTGACAAGAATGATGCAATCTCATCGGTTGCCCGAGAATTAGTTTGAGAAAAATTCTGGAGAATTCCGACGAATAATGTTTGGCTGCGACGTTCGCCCAACGTATCCAATCGAGTATTTATGGGACGAGCTGGAGAAGTCTATTCGCACGCAAACAGGGAGCTATATGGACAGCTATCGAGAAGGACAACTATCGAGAAGACACCACTTTGGGGGTTTTCTGACCACTCATGGAATCGATACGGCAATGAATCGCTGCCCTTTGTCGGACTAGGCCGGGTCCGAGGCGCCTACATTTGGATACGTGTATTATGTACATATTTATTCCCCTCGATTTTCCTCGAAATATTTTCAAGCTAATATAAAGAAATAGTGAAAAGAGTATAAATGAAAAGAAAATGACATATATTGACCTGTGATCAAATAAAAAATATTTTTACGGTTGTTGCTTCTTTATTTCTTGCCTGTTTATTCCGTTCATCATATCTTCAGCACAGTGTGTCTTCATTGTTGCATTATTTCTAAGTTTAATGGAATATTTGAACATCTTTCAGCAAGTTATCTTACTAATTGGAATGAAATTACTTTTGAAACATTTCTCTTTTTAGATAATGTTGGTAAAAATAATTTTTAAATTTCGCGAAATTCATTTATGTACGCCTTAATGTTTATATAAGCAGAATACATTGGAGAATTTGAATTACCATTATTTCTTATTTTATTTTATTTATTTATTTTAATTTTGTAAAGCAGGAGCCAATTTAGCGAAAATCTGCCCTGAATCGTAAAATAAAAAAATGTAATAAAACTAAGATATTATTTAATTAGAAAAGCTTTCAATTGCTTTTATGAATAATATATATTATGGACAATATTGTCTTAAGAAAAAATCTTTCGATTAATAATGAATTTTTGCAAGAAGTATTTTAATTTTTTTAAAAAATTAATTAGAATAATTTATAAAGATTTAAATCTTTTAAACATCTCTATTACTTTCTAGAGGTTAAGTGCTATTATTATTAAGTAAAAATTATATTTACTAATAAATCTAAAAGATTACTACATTTCAGCGAACTCCAATATTTTAGAGAGAATTTTTATTTTTTCGTGTGCGTATAAGCGTGCCAATTTTTATAAATATCTTCTGATCATCCATACAGAAGATACGAGCGGTAAATTTAAAGACTAAGTACATAAAATTCATAAAATTATTAGATTACTTAGAATACTTTCCTAATTTTTAAGATTACTGGACAGTTAAAAAATTATAAAAAGGCGTTCACGTTGTAATTTTAACAGATATAAAAATTAGTTAAATTTCCAGCTGTCATTAGAGCTGTCAACACCTAATAGAAACACCCACTCCTCTGTTAAAAATGCATTTCTGCAATATTTTAAACTAAAAGTAAGTAATATCTGTTTCAAATCAGATTAATTAAACTTTAAATTAGCAAATATTCATCAAATAAATTTTCAGAAAAGTATCTTTTATTTTTAAATATTTTTTTAATAAAAAGAATTACATTGTGCTGACGGAGATTTTTAGAAATTAAAAAAGAACTCTTTCCAAATAATTTAAATTCGTTTTTTATTTGCTTATTGTAAATATTAAATTTAATTTATTAGTTTGAAATTAAAACTAAAATAAAAGCTTGAAGAAATATTTTTCATTTTTATCCTGTGTTTTGGAAGTACTTACTTTTAACGCTAATAATTAAATTTAAATAGCTGATCTTTTTCTATTCCTCTAAAAAACATTTTCATTTTACACTCCCCCACCACTCTTAGCGAAGTAGAGTGGTTAGAATAAAGAAGTGAAAACTCTCAACGTTCAACGAACTTATTTCGGTTTCAGATTGAAAAGAAAAGAGGGAAGGAGTTCAATATTGACACAACCAATTAGAAAAATTCTCGATTCAGTTTCAGATTGGTTTGAAGTTTTCAAAATCTGATAGATGCAAGAGTTGACTACCAACACAAAAATGGATATAATAAATTAAAAAAAAGAAATACTTGTAAAATTCTTGTGAAAAAAAAAAACAACTGAATTTCAGAACAAACAGCTTGGCAAATGAAAATGCTTAATGAAAGAAAGAAATGAAAGAAGACGATTCACTAACAGAACTAAGAGACTCGTTTTTTTGTATCTTTCTTTCTCTCTTTGTTTTTGTGTATATTTATTTATTCTTTTGACTTGTTTGAAGTAAAACACTATCGGTGCAAGTGAAATGTTCCGCCAGAATTGCTTCCAGCCAACTTAGGCAGGTAGCAGATGTTGTTCAGTTTTTTTTTTTTTTTTTAGGCAGTGCTTCTTGACGTTAACTGAAGACAAGCGAAAAGGCAGACGAGAGATGAAAAAAGGCGGAGAAAAGATAAAGATGTATGGAAGAACGGATTGAGAGAATAAGAAAGAAAGAAAGAAAGAAAGAAAGAAAGAAAGAAAGAAAGAAAGAAAGAAAGAATTTTTTTTTTTTACGTGTGAAAGTGGGTGGGATTGGCAAGGAGGGCAAGGAGCTGAATGTTGTTAAGACCCGGGCACGGAAATTCAATGATGTCAAATGTTGACACTTCAAACAGTTTTTAGAGTTGTGTAACTTTATCAGTAAATAGTCTTATTCTACTTTTTCACATTTTTTTTCGTTTTTGTTTATTTATTTGTTTATTTATTTTTTCCTCAACAAAAGCGTCGGAAATACTTTGCATCTTTTCTTTAAAAAACCAGAAAAGAAAGGATTTAAAAATATTACAGAAAAGCACCCCCCAAAAAAAAAGTAAAGAAAAATAAACTGTTTTTTACTTTCTCCATTTGTTAAACACGTTTCTCTGGTCTTAGCAAAATAAATGAAAAACAAAACAAAGAAAATAAACCAAAATACATGTATAACAAGTAATGGAAATAAGTCTATTTTTTGTTATTGTAGTCAACAACAAAATATTTAACGATAAACTTTGAAAATATTTTTTTGCAATTGTTGCTATTGTTAATTTTTTTATTTTCCCATCTGCTTGAAGTTTTCTGGCTTTCTTTGCACTAATTTTACTCCAATTTTAAGAAAATCTCCTTTAGCCTTTCCACCATATCTTTTTTCTATGTTTGTGTCTCTGTGTGTGTGTGTGTGTGTGTCTGTGTATGTGTGTGTTCGCGTATGTGTGGCCGTGTAGTCACTGACTTTGTTACAATTATAACAATCTGATCAGTGTTTGAAAGATGAGGTTAATTATCAATGCAACGAGAATTTGACTGCTTGAGCCACTAGAAAAGAATTTATACGGAATTTATTTTATTCATTTTCACTTTATAACCAATTTTCCCAAAATCGACATTTGTTGTGAATTCGGTTGTTTGGTTTAAAATATTCAGTCTGAAACATAAATGTTTGCTGTTTTAAAATATGTTACTAAAATTTAAACTTATTGAATCGACAGTTTTTTTTTGTAATTTTCAGAAGAGTAAAACATGAATTAATCCAATGGAATAAATTTGAAGAAATTGCTTTTAATCGTTGTTAAAACAAAAACATAAAAATAAAATGATGAGCAACTTTAAACAAAAGAACATTAAAAATATTGAAAAATGTCTTTATTCGACCAATAATTTTATTTTTTTTAATACAATTTAATTACAACAAAAAAGAACAAACAATTTACTTTAAAACTATTATGGAAATGATCAAAACCAAAAATAACCTAAAACAATAATTTTGGCACATCAGCTGTGATAGTTGATCCTTAAAATATAATGGTGAAACGTCCAGAAACTTAAAAAAAAACAAACAAAAAGAACAAAATAAAACATACTAATGAACACAAAAAAGATCTCCTCTATAATAATTTATCCAATGCATTATACTCAGAAATAATTTCAACCATTTCTATCTTAAATATCCTGTCTTTATTAAGATAGAAAATATCGAAGACAGAAAGTTCACGAGAGTGCATTAAAATTAATAGAACAAACATAAATATACGTTATGATATTTTCATTCATATCAAATATCTCCTTTCTTAAGAGAAATGTTAATTTTCTTAAGCCAACATATTTGTGTACGACCATAAAAAATATAAAAAAAATTAATAAAAATTAAAAATGGTTAATTTACTAACCCCGCCCACCTAAACTTAATAACAACAGCAACAACAATAAGAACTTAACTTCGTTTAAAAATATTAATAATTAATCACTTACCGTCCTGAATAATTTCCTTCTTTTCGAATAATTAATCACTTACCGTCCTGAATAATTTCCTTCTTTTCGAATAATTAATCACTTACCGTCCTGAATAATTTCCTTCTTTTCGAATAATTTTTTATTAAATTGAAACATTTTAACATTATTTTTTTATTTTTAACATTATTAACTTTTCTGTGCATATAAAAGTTTCTCAATAACCGTCTACTTTGCTTTCATAAAGCCCATTAAGAAATGTAACACGTAGTAAAAATAATTTTCGTTTTGCCATATATATATATATATATATATATATATATATATATATATATATATATATATATATAGAGAGAGAGAGAGAGAGAGAGAGAGAGAGAGAGAGAGAGAGCGGTAGAAATATCACCTAAATACCTCCCAGAAATACTTTCCACATAATGGTAAAACATTAGCTAGATGAAGAAGACACCATTGCCACTAATGTGTTACCATTATGTGGGAAGTATTTCTGGGAGGTATATGTGGGAGGTATTTTCTGCCCCATATATATATATACATACATATATATATATATATATATATATATATATATATATATATATATATATATATATATATATATATATATATATATATAGTGAGAGAGAGGGGAGAGTTTAGAAATAAACTAAAAAAAAAAAAGCAAAGCAAAAATAAATAAGATAAGCTAAAATGAAAGATATAAGGATATGTTTTCCTAAATTATACTGATTTCAAAGTAGATAGAATATCTAAGCTCCAAAAATTGATAATTATTTTTCAAAGGTCATTATTATATATGAAATCGAAATTTATAATCCCGACCTTTGAAATAATGTGTTTCTCTTTTATTATTTATGTCCATTATAATCTGATCTGCGCATTTTACAGTGGAAACAGATAAAGGAACTAAAAATGTATATTTTATGAATTCAAAAAAAAAAGCAGATATAAAGATGGTCAATATTTTAAAGAATTATCCTATCTACGATGGGGTGCTGAAAAGTTCTGGAAACGAACCCCCTTCTCCACACACCAAAATCTGATCTCTGGTCATTTAGTCAGATCTTTGTACTCGTATCGAAAGCTAAAACATCGAGTTCCGTGACTCACTGACTGGAGTACTTATAAATCAGTCAGAACACACACACACACCACACGGCCACTAACACACACACACACACACACACACACACACACACACACACACACACACACACACACACACACACACACACACACACACTCCAAGAGTTAGATAAGTTTATTTAATTTGTGGATGTACAGAAATAATAATTTACGTATATATATATATATATATATATATATATATATATATATATAATTTACGTAAATATATATATATATATATATATAAATATATATACATACACACATATATATATATATATATATATATATATATATATATATTTTATATGCGCGGTGCTTAGTGGAAAGCGCTCAATATATATATATATATATATATATATATATATATATATATATATATATATATATATATATATATATATATGAGCTAGAGATCAAATATGGATCAGAATTAGACAGGATGATAAAATAAAAGAACAAATAGGAAACGTATATCAATCTAAAATATTTCACTTTTAAAGCTTCGTCAGAGATTGAGTGAAAACATACAAAAAGACAGAAAACACCGATATTTTCAATTATGTTTGGGTCAGTTCTCATTGGTCAGACACGTGTATTAAAATCATGGATAATTCTATGTGTATTATGAGGGCAAGATTATAAATTTTGTGTAATTTTATTAGAAAAATTATTTTTAGAAGTGTTATTGGTGGTGTTTTTGGGGGGTTGGGGAGAGTTGTGGATTTTGGAAGCTCGTTTTTTCCGCGTTGCGGATAAAATGATGTGGGTAGTGGAGAAGTTTGAAAGTTTTCTCAACATATCTCTCGTCTTCATTTAGGTATTCCGGGCTGCATATCCTAAGGTCTCCAGGGTAAAATCCTATAACTAGCCCAGATTTTATTTTTTAGTTCTAGTGGGAATAAAAGTTGATTAGATCATTTTTGTTTGTTGGTTTACGATATACCTTAAAATCTAATTTTCCATTGTTGTGTATTAATAACATGTCGAGGAAAAGTAGAGAATTGTTTATTTCAAATTTGTCTGTGAATGTCTAATAGGTTTGTATACCAAACAGCCCTACTTATCTAAGATATATAATCTTAGATAAGTAGGGCTGTTTGGTATGATGTGTCTAAATGGACCGAATTCTAGAAAATAGCAACTGAGAACACCGCTGATGCGTAAGCCGAATTTTTGCTTGTAGAGATGTTGAAAGCGAAGAAGCTGTGCTTAGTGATTACTTTGCATATTTTTATAATTTTGTAGAGTAGAGGAAGCTTTTTAGACTTTTTGAGGTGGTTTCTCAATATTTTGAGACACCTCATAATGGAGATGTTGGTGTATAATAATTTGATGTCTACGCTTGCCATGACAATGTTTCCATATTTACGTTTCGTATTCTCTGGATTAAGTCACCAGAGTTTTTTTTTTATATGTGTTGTGTTGATAGTTCCTAGGAATGGAGTTAGGATTTTTGCAATAGTTCTAGCTATTTTGTGGTGTGTCCTGTTGATACCGGACACAATGGATCTGGTTGGTATGTCGGGTAATGCGTATAGTGTGGGTGTGATGGGGTGGTATTCTATTAATCTGATCCACGATTTGTTATTTTCTTAACTGTTTTGTTGAACCTTTGTGTGTCTGTGTTTACTGTCTCTTTATTGGTTTTTGTGTAGGTGTTGTCGTTATCTAGGAGGGATTCCAATTTTTCAATGTAGATGTTGGTACCCATTAAAACTGTTCTGTCTCGTTTGCCGGATGGGGTTACGATAATGTGTTTGTTCGCGGATAAGTTTATCCTGGGTAGCGTAGTTTCATCGGTGTTTGTGAGTGTGGCTGCTAATATACCTTCGAATACAAAACCTTCGAATTCGGTGTCGTTAAATTTGTGTTTTTTGGTTAAGGTTTTAACAGTGTCATCTTTCTTCAGTTCTATGGCGAATTTCAGGCCAAAACTTAAAGCTTCGGTTTCAGTGACAGAAAATATGAATTTGGAGGTGTTGTGAGATAAGATTCGGATGACCAATCTCTTCCCACCTACTGTTGGGGCAAAGGTCGTGAAGATTGTCTTTTAACCGATTTAACTGTTTGTAGTTTGTGTGTGATATTGTTTGTCGCAAGATTTCGGCTTCGGATTTATAAATGATATTTTTATCCCTACGAGGCAGACAAACGCATACAATTACAAATACACATTACCATTCGCTGCCCACTTAAACATACAAAATTCTTCACAAACCCACATAAATATAGAATTCTTCACGGTTTTAATACACGTGACACGTGTCTGGTCAACGTGAACTGACCCAAACATAAATGAAAATATCTGTTTTTTTTGTCTGTTTTGACGAAGCTTTAATAGAAGTGAAACATGTTAGATTGAAAAACGTTTCCTATTTGTTCTTTTTTTATATATATATATATATATATATATATATATATATATATATATATATATATATATATACACCACTTTAATATATTTAATACTTATGTATATATAATAATAATAATAATAATAATAAATTGTGAATAAATAATTAAATATATAATTATCATTATTTAATGATATTACTATAATATACATTACAAGTTGTTTTTATATATTATTACTGCTGTATCATTGATTATACATACTTTCTTCTGTCAATATGATTTACATTAATAACAGTAACAATTGTTTATTATTTTTAATCCTAATTTGGAACGCACAACTGACTGGAGGTAGAAATTTGCCACCCGATATAAATAAATAAATGAAAAAATAAAAACAGCTTGATGCTTACTCGTCTAGGTTCAAGGCAGTCGTGGAAAATTCAGTCTGTTTTATCATTCTTCTGACTTTTAAAATTGATACTCATTCTCTATGTAAAGATTAGAGTGAATTAATTTGTTACACACACAGACATGTACACACACATATATATATGAAATAGATTTTCTCGATAATCATAAGTCAATTAAATTTAAAAAGTTGCCATCGAATGAACGATGGAATAGTTAATTTAACTCATTTTAAATACAATTATCTATTATAAACAACTATATGTCATAAAATGATTTGTAATGCTAATGCATGTAAATTAAAACTAATTTAACTAATTTCATTTGTTTATAACATATATCTTTATAATTCACATTTACATTTTATCCGCCAGAATAAAAAAAAACACCCATTAATATATAATATTATAATATAAAACAAGAATAAAATGGTTCATACTGTTTATAAAATAAAATTAATTTATCAATATAAATTGCTTATATAATTTATATTTACGTATCATTTGATAGAACAAAATAAGGCTTTTCCAGAGTTTCGAAAAACACGTCGCTTATATTTGAATTCTATGCCTCCATCATCATCATCATCATCATCATCATTATTATGTTCATTATCCTTCTCCTTATTGAACTTCTTTTCTTCTTCTGATTATTATCATTATTATTTATATATTAATACACTTGTAACAATGTATGGTGTGCATCGCTTTTGGTATCACATATACTGGGAGAGAAGCAGAAAGAGAGAGGGATATAGAAAGTAAAACAGAAAGAAAGAGATAGAGTGCAATACACAGAGGGATTTGGAGAGATAGATTAAGTAAAAGCAGTTAATTTCATTTTTTTTTTAAATCTTATTTTCGCGAATTTCTTACAGACTGAGGGAAATAACTCTCTAAGTTCTATCATAGATGGGGTCGATTTTTCTTTTCACGTTGTGCATTCAATAAGGTTATTACGAACAGAAGGAAAAGGAAGACCAACAAGAAATATATCAACGACGAGCAGCAGCGAGAGAACGGTAGATAGACAGCGTGATCATTTGCGGGCAGAAGAGCGACAAGCAACTCCTAGCCTGAATAGAGACAGAATGCAAGAACGGAGAAATGCTATGGAAGAGCAAAATAGATTATCTTCAAAACCGAAGAAAGGGATATCAAGAGAGGATAAATGGCGTGAAAGAAGAATAAAGACAGGATTATTTACAGAGCATGAGAAACGGAGAATATGAATGACGAAATGCTATGAATGAGGAAGGAAAAGAGAAGAATTGCTTTGAATAAAGCTCAGCCTATAAGATGTCGAGATGAATGTCATTTACCACTACTGTGGAGCAGTTAGATTCACAAGAGAACCATTGAATTGCTACCAAAATGAAAAGGTATCACTGCCTAACTTACAAAAATATCCTGTCAACCCATGCGATTATTTGACAGCAATGATCATGAATGAAAAAATTCTAATTTGAAACCACATCTCTGCATTTTCATTTAGAGTGAATATCACATCTACAGCAGGACGAAGTAAGTTCTCCTTCCGATAATAAGGTCACGCATACCATTTGCACCGAGAAGACAATGGGGAAAGTAATTATGGAAAATTCTAATACTGTCGACGCTGATGAAGCACTGCAATCTCACGGTGAAAGCTAACCTGAAAATACTAATCGTTTGCAGTCAGTATTTGAAATGATCTCTACTGTTGTGAAAAATAGTCCTAATGATGGTGATATTGATGGAGGCATAAAATTCAAATATACCAGCGCCAAAGTCATATGACTCAGTGGATAAAAGCATTGGTTGAAGTAATTCAAAAAGTGACTTGGCACAAAAAGTTATGAGTTTAATACCTGACCACAGCGGAGGGGACAAAGAAAATTAACTGAAACTGAGATATCAAAAAAAGACATGGCACGTGGAATTAGAAGAGATCTACCCCCGTGGAATAAATGAAGGGTTCGGTTCGAAATTCCTACAAATCACCTGAAGAAGGCCGGAGTATACAACGGCCGTGACGTCGTAAATATGGCAACAGTCCGAATGATGTAAATAGTATAAGTAGTATTATAGTTATAATTTAGCAGTAAGAAACAATTCTAGTTCCATACATCGTTCAGAAAAAAAATTATCCTAACAATATATAATTGATGCTTACGCCAAAGTGGAAGGGTGCCGCCTAAACTTCATCAGGATTAGCCAAACTCGGTTTAGAGTGGTATCATGCATTGGCATCATAGATAATTTAGCAAGAAATGATAATGATAGAGATGCCGGCGGTCTACTGATTCTGACATCTTCGTTTTCATGAAACCCCAGAAATATGCAGCAATATTTCCAGGATGCAATTGTATGCAAATACGGTAAATCTGATTTATTCTTAACTCATAATCCCAGTAATAATTTTGTAATCCAAAATCCCAGTAATAATTAACAATCTTGGCACATTCCAAATAACTACAAAACAGACCTGACTTAGTCGCGCGCGTTTATGAGACACATCTTAATGAGTTTATGGTTAACATTAAGGATAGACTCAGGTACATTTCATCGAATTTCAAATGAAATGGCCATGAATGAACAAGATAAAATCAGGAAAAGACTACATGTTCCAGGGAGACGGTGACCTCTTCGAGAAGGATACTAATTATAAATGGTCCTTGTGGAGAATACAGTTCTACCTCTCCTGCATGGTGAAGAGTCAGTGTCAGAAGAATTTCCTGCAGGTATTTAAGGTAGAAAGACGTAATAATGAAGAAACTGTATAAGTAGGAAATTATCATATATCAAGGCACAACATATCATTCGATATGTTGTGCCTTTCAACAAGTGCCTTCAAAAAGCATTTCAAGCTCATATTAACTTGGAAATATGCTCATCGGTAAAAAGCATTAAGCACACATTAAAATATGTGTACAAAGGACAGAATTGTGCAATGATGGAAATCAATAACCGAGACAAAGGACAAGGATAAGAGCATTGATGAAATGAAGTAATTTTTATCATACGGATAGGTTTCACCTCCAGAAAACCATGTGGCATCACTCTCAGAATACAAAATCCATAGTTAATACCATACAGTTCATCGTTTAGTTGTTCACTTACCTGGAGAACAATACGTGTTTTATCATGAATGACAAGAGGTGCGAGTTACTGGCCAAACACAAAATGGACTCCAACGATTCGAACCAATAACAACTTAGTCATCAGAATGTATTCATTAAATTCCTGACAAATGGGAAAATTTAATCTAAGACCGCTGTTGCTGCTGCTGCTGCTGCTACACGTCTCGGGGACACTTGTTTTGAGAACTTGAACAATGTAGAGGGACTAGAGCTGGTAACATTTAGGGAGGGATGCATCCGACTCCTAGAAGACGATGCTGGACTACATAATGTTCTCACAGAAAGTGCAACATTTTACATGCCATCTGTTAAACATGTTTACCCGTGATGTGTCTCTTCAATAATCCCGTGAAAACACTGCAACTTTTGAATGAACATAGACATATCAAGATTGAAGAACCCTTTTATAGATAATGACTACTTAGTTAGCATTCCACCTATTAAGTGCAATTTGAGGATAGAATGGGGCACTTGGTCTGCATGAACCAACAGGTGACCCTTGAAGAAATGAAAACATTGGTCAAATCAATCCACCAAACCTTGAATCACTAAACAATGAACAAATGCAAGTGTTAAACATTGTAATGGAAGCAGTAGCAGCAGAGAAAGGTGAGCACGATAGGAGGAGGCACATTTAGTTGGATGCACCTGGTGGATCAGGGAAGACAATATATTACATGCTCACTTAACTACAAATAACATTATGACTCAAACAGCTGTCTGGATTGGTAGAGTTGCAACTTTTAACTGGAGGAAAAACTCATCATTCTCAATCTATATTTTATGTTCTTTTAACAAAGTGTGTGCAATATTTCACCGAACTCCGAGCAAGCAAACTACCTAAAAACAATGAAAATATTCATTATTGATGAAGCGTCAATGATTTTAAGTGCTATTCCCTTCATGCAATAGATAAATGCTTGTGGGATATTATAGGAGTTATTGGCGGCAAAGTGATTCTGCAACATGTGAAAATTTCGAAGAAAACTCTTCCATCTTAATGAGTTTATAGTTGACAAAAATGTTTGCACATTGTCCAGTGTAAATATTGTCCCCACTTCTATCGTGACGATTTTTATATTCATTTGGCGCAAGTACAGAACATCCTGAGATTATGATGTTTCCTCATATTTGTCACAGAACCTGAATTTTAGATCTACACTATCATGTATGATATTTGCCTGAAAGTTTCTAGTGAAAAAGACTCTGGTCTTGCGCTACAATAATAAAAAACCTTCCGTTTCAGTCTTTAATCCAGGTTCCTCTTAACAATCGATGAGTGTTAACTTTATCAACATCGGCTTTATTAGCCTCGTTCTGGATATTGTCCATGCAGAGGTTTGTCTTGCCAACGTTGTTTCATCTGTTTAAGAGATTTATCCTTGGTTTTCTTTTTTAATAATTTTTGCTACAACAGTTGGTTATGTTTTGGTTTTCTACAGAATCTACTAAATGTAAAATCTCTTTTGCATTGTTTTTTTTTTATTTTTTCATGATTGAATATTTTTCTTTCTGTTTTCGTGTTGTTTGACAAATTGTATGATCCAGTCCTTTGTTGTTTCCATCTATGTTAGTAAACCAATAGTTGTTGTCGAGTGTGATAATTCTATCTAAATAAGACTTCTTTCTTCTTTACTGGATATGTATAGACGGTCTGCATCAGCCATTGGATAATTCATGTTATTCTTAGAAAAAAGCTTTCTTGTCTTAGAATCCATTTGTCTGATAATCATTTAGAGTTCAGTTCAAGATGTTGAAATTATATTGAATCACTTGAATGGAAAGGCTATTAATGGCCATAATTCTAATCTGAGAATACAGTTCAGTTCTTAATACCAGTCGCATCCTTCTATAGTACTCTTTTCGTAGTATATGTTTTTATGGTGAATTCCTTCACACTCATTTACATTGAGGTACTTATAAACTTCTTGCTCTAAATCTTTGATTGTTACCCCAGGGTCTAAGCTAATAGAAGTGGTTTGTTGGAGTGATCCTCGTAAAATTGTAGCTTTAGCACATTTAACCAAACCGAATTCCATTCCAATGTCATCATTGGAACATTTTACTGTCTTTCAGGAGACCTTCCAGCTCACTGTTATTCCTAGCATACCACTTTAAGTCATCCATGTAAAATAAATGGTTTATTTTCTTTTGATATATTAAGATATCTCAAAAGAAAATAAACTATTTATTTTACAGCCATATTCCGTCCTGTTAAATTCGCTGGTTAATGCTATTAGGGATATACAAAATAATAAGGAAGACAATGAGTCACATTGAAATATTCCTCTGTTGATGCTTATTTCACCAGACTTATAGACTCCATTTATATGATTGAGGTATTATTATTATTGTTTTATTTCCTTTGATTTCTGGTGTATACTCATTTCTTTTCGGGTCTTGACCAAAGATCTAAGGTCAGAAATGACATCATGACATTTTCCTCTGAGCACTTTAAAAATAAATCACATATTTTACATAGATAAAGCTCTTCGTAAAGTGTGGGTTGTAATTATGAGTACAAGTTTTTGTATATCTTTAAGGCATAGGCTCTTTTCAATGAGTCTATTGGAATATTTCCCAATCAATCCGAGGACTCCAAATTCAACGAATTATTGATGTCCTCATGTGCCACATTTTTTAGATTTCCTTTTCAAGATTCTTGTTCTTTGTCTGTTTTTGGAAGATCTTCAAAGATACATTACAATCTGTAGGAATTGTCATGTCAATAAGAAAGCATATTCTGTTTTTGATCACGAGGTCAGGGCAATTAGCTTTCATTGTTCTGTCTGTGTGTCCCATTAAATTGTTACAGGTCCTATCTTTGTAACCGGATCTGGAGGATTTTCATATCAGTTTCTTGCAGTTTCATTCCCATAAAAGTTTCATATTTTCCCGTATAGATTTTGGCTAAATCTATCAAACCCATTTTTATATTCAGTGGGTTCTAACACTGTGCAAATTGATACAAGATATTCAAATGTTTCTGGATATTTATCCCAAAATCTACATTTCGGGTTAATACAGTTTTTCAGTATCTGTGCTTGTTGTTGTTGTTGTTGTTATTATTATTATTATTTGTGTATGTTATGTTTCCTATTTGTATCCTGTAGTCGGGTCCAAAATGTGGTCCTTATGTCCTATAGGAGAATTGTCATTTAATTGATAACACTTTTCTTAGCATATGGAATGTCCTTAGTAGGTCGATCTTCTGGGCAACTTATATGCTGATGTTACCTGGATGTTAGTAAAATTGTCCATTTCTTTTCTCACGAGGCCCAGTGCTCCGATTACTATTGGTACAGTCTTAGTCTTCATTTCCCACATCCTATTAATCTCGATCTCCAGGTCCTTATATTTGGACAATTTCTCGATAATTTTTATGGTGGTGTTTTCAACTCAGATGGGAGTGCTATGTCAGTAAGCATGCACTTCCTGAATTTCTTGTCTTTTATTATATTATCGGGTCTGCTGACTTTTATTTCCCTGTCAGTTTGAATTCGCATGTCCTAGAGGATAGTTACATCGTTATTTTGGGTAATCGTGTCTGGTTGGTGCTCATGCCATCTCTTCGTGGTTTCGATTTTGTGCTTCTTGCATATCTTCCAGTGCACATTGTTATGCCTGTGGTATATTCATTTATTATTATTATTATTATTATTATTATTATTATTATTATTATAACCTAATATGTTTAGGTAGATTTTCTGGTGATTTCAAATCCAACTTTATCTATTTACTTAATTAGTTTAAGTTTACATAACCAAAACAATTTTATTTCTTTTTTCCAATACAAAAATACAAGAAGACGGAGCAGAGATGAATGTAAGACAAAGTAATATTTATTAACGATGCCAAAGCATATATGCTATAAAAACTAAGTCTTTGGCAACGCAAGTAAAAGAAAACGAAATAGTTTTCTACTGTCTATTCAATTTCTATTTTCAAAAGCGAGGCGCACTGCGAAACTTTGCATACACCTACTCTGCTAAATTTAGATTAGTCTAGTAGTGGGCTAATTTATCTAATATATAAAGTTTAAAGTTTGCATATGGGTTACTTGTCCGTGGGTTTGCGTTACGTAAGACTGTGACAGTGAATACAATGCGGCTCCATCATTTACATGTAGTAGCATTTTGCTTTATATCTTGCCCAACTTGCGGTTTTTGCTTCATAGCGGTAATTAATTTTAATATTTGGTTTTGAAAAATAATCATGCTTTGTCATTCGTTTTCCAACTTGGTCTTTTGTGATCTTTATAAATTAGATGTTGCTTTGATGTTGGCATTTATAATTAAATTAATTAGTTATGATTTAAATGAAGCCATTGTCTACTTGGAAATTTGTAATTACTTTATTTCGGAGCAAAGGGAAATAACCAATGTTGACACTTTAATAGTAATAGAATCTAATAAATGCAAAGTTTCCCTTGTCAAATATATTTTTTAACGTTTTGTTCATGAAAGTAATAAAATAAGTTATATTGTTTGTTTACTAAAGGATTTATTTACCTTCATTGATGAAAAAAATCTTTTTCTTTAAAAGTGAACCCACTGTCATCCTGTTGAACGTGGCTCACAATTGAACCATGACGCTTGCATATCAGATATAGAATAAACGTCTACTAAAATGTTTAAACCTATCAAACTGCTTTAATTATACAAATTTCTTAAAGAATCGGTCTATTAAACGACGCTGAGACAATCTTCGTCTGAAGTTTATTTTACAGAAAACTGTTTGTGATTTAAAATCAAAATTAATCTGTTTTGAAAATCGATGTTTACATTTCGATCAACAATTGCCTCAACTGCACTGTGTTTAACGTCTGCCGAGAGCATTTTTTTTTATTTTCAGAGAAATTTTAAAAAATATCCCAAGAGAGATGAACTGCGTTATACACTTAACAGAGAAGAACCCTTGATCATACTGAGATACTTAGGTTTTTAATCATGGTGATATGTTATTACCGAGACTCCTCTGTCAGGAGAATGGGTGAAAGAACGCAAAGGGAAAGTGAATTTATTCACGAAGACAATACAAAGTTAAGATACGCAATTTAAATGACAATTGAGTTTCGGTTCACTGATTCAGTTATCATGAACAGATTTCGATGATCAATGAAACAAAATACACAAGTGAACTTAGAAAATATTTCTCATGTTTTGGTTAAAGGAAAAATCTTTTTTTAGTGTCGTCTTAAAGCTTCGACCTAGAAGAAAATAAAACAGGATGTTAATACAGTAGTACAGACTACTATCTTGTTTGAAGTACCTGATGATAGATGAAGGACTACACCTTGCCTCTCATACCAATGTAACCCAGTACAACGTGTTGGATATTACTTGAAGAAAAGACAGGTCCTACCAAAAAACATCAATGCACCGAGAAATAACACGAAGGAGTCATTATGATCTCCTAGATAAAACAATTTGATTTGAGCTGATAAAAGCTGATAATAAAGTCTCCTCACTTGCTAATATGGATGCCAAAAGGGGCATATCAATATTTTGATACTTGTCGCCATATTTTGATATCTTTCGCCACTTTTTAAATTAATTTTCCAACTTTTTCAAAAGTGCAGATGTGTAAAAATATATTATCTCAAAGATTTAGCAATCTGAAAAAAAGAAAAAAACAATGAATTAAAAAACGTTTTAAATACCACATCTGCCTTTATAAAAGATCACCAATACGTAAATTAAAAGATGGCCACAGATAACCCAAAAGTAGCAACATTTTTCTGTTGTGCGTTTAGTTTAAGCATATCAGTAATTTGACATATCTTGATACCCACACTTAATTTTACATATGTAGATGTCTACACATAGCGCAAAAGAAAATATTTTCTTCTCTACGTTTAATGTTCAGGAATGTGTTATTTACGTAACTTTAAAAACAAACTTGAAAGAGAACTAATATAAGTGACATCTTTCTTAGCAGTTAACCAGTAATTTTGTTGCGTACCAAATACAAATGACGACATGATTAAATTATTTCCTTCAACTTTCCTCCCCATTACGTTGCTAATTTGGTACGGCGCGTTGATTATTTAATTCCAGCAATTATTCCACATCAGAAAAATTGCACTCTCACGTTTATTTTGAACCGGTATGCTTATTTCATAAGGAGGAAATTTTTTACCGGTATGAAAGTATTCATGGTATTATTTATATATTAAAATAACGAGGACAATTTTTTTAAGTGAATTAAGTGAATATAGTTTTTATTATTTTTCAAATACTACAATAATTTTGAAACTTTTACACATGAAAGCTTTTACATCGCATAATTGTTATAAGAAATCCTACCCATTATTTATTCTAAGACAAATTACAAAACAGTCAGTTAAGTGATAACCGCTTGGGCGATCATGTATCTTTCGATACATGACTGACGAGGCAGATTTTTTCCCGCAGTAGGTTGCCATTTCTTTCTGCAGTTGCCAAGCAAGGCTAAAGAACACAGTCTGTCCTGCTATTCAATTGGGGAGGGGGAGATGAGAAGGATTCATACCTTTCCAAAGGGTATGTGTGTGTGAATCTAACGAACTCGATTGGAATTCGAACTCACGCACACACGCGTTACTTACGGAATTCGATTTTATTTTAAAAAGAAAAGAAATTCGTTGGCATGGTGAATGATTGAAAATCTGAAGACATTGTCAAATATCGTATTTGTTTCCATTCCATGTGGCGAGTTTCATTTCTGTTATTGTATAAAAAGATAAAAATTATATTTAATCTGGTTGCTGGGTATGAATGAAAACTGAAAAATCTTTATAAATATTAAAATTTTTATAATTCTGGTATCTTGGCATTATTTGGCTCTTCAAACACGTTCTATCTGGTATCTGAACTTTGCTTTTTCGTTCTATATTTCTAATATTATTTTTTCATGTTGAACTTTTCAAAGCGATTGTTTTAAAGATGCTGATAGTAAATACATTTGTTATTATATTTGCACACAGTTTGATCTAAATAATAATAATAAAGAGAAAATGAAAGGAATTGCAAACGAAACAACATGGACATGGTTACAAAGAGAATATTTAAAGAGAAAAGAAACTAAATGCTATCTCAGAAATTTCTATAAGAAATAACTCGAAGTCGATCAAAGATTAATGTCTGTTTTTTAATTACAACAGATTTGATACACACAAAACAAATGTAGTCATCAACATAATCCCTTTCTTTCTTAGTCATGGTATTCGATCATTGAATGAGGACATGTAGTAGCTTCTTAGCTGCTTTCTTAACCATGTGCGAAATTCCGCTTTTACTTCCTCATCATTGGAAATCATTATCCTTTGAGCATTTCTTTCATCGGCGCAGATATAAGTAGTGGGTCATTACAGTAGAGTGGATGAAATAAAGTTATTCAACTATACACTGTGATTGACTGTCTGGGCTTTCAGATACTGTGAGGTTTTGCAATGTCGATATCTCAACAATATTGGAGAGGAAATAGGATGAAAGGGGGAAAATAAAATAATATTAACATGACATTAAGGAAAATTTCAGAAGGAAAATAAAAATTGCAAAGAGAATGAAAATGAATATGAAGAAAAATAATCAAACTGATAAGAAAACAGACAATTTGGAGAAAAGAATGAAAAAGAAATGAGCGCGAAAGAGAGAGAGAGAGAGAGAGAGAGAGAGAGAGAGAGAGAGAGAGAGAGAGAAAGAGGGCATGTGGGGGTAGAAAGAGAAAGAGAAAGAGAAACATTTTTATGAACATTTTATCAAGATTTCGAATCAGGACACCTGATAATGATAAACGATATTTATTTGAACGCCGTATATATTAGAAAAACAATTTTTATGATGAGATGACTTGCATTTTTATTAAAGAAGAGTTTTTGAAAATAAAATAAGGCAATGAAGAATAAATAAATCTCTTATGTAATGTGATAATCGTAAGTGGTTTTATTTTCCAATAAATGTTAGAGAAACCGTATTGTGTTAAGACGTGGGTGAGGTTTGCCGTCATTTTTATTTTATTGAAAAATAATAATTGCCGACATTACATCATGAGCACAAGATTAACCTGAATCGCTTCAACATGACGTTTAAAATGGCTTCTTATTCCACAAATACGAATACAAGGGAGATGACACCTATGTCGAACACACATACACACAAGTGATAATTTTAAGAAAATGTATAAAAGCAAGACGTCTCATTCTGTCTAATGTCATATGCAAACATTATATACATTAACAGAAAAACAAACATACACTTACATATGTGTAGAGAGTGTCGATTTTCTCTTAATGTCTAGAGATAGCTGATCAGGGCTTTTCACAGACTCCATTTTTAAATTATTTGTGAATTGTTCAAATATATTGGAAAAGAGAGTAGAATGGTTTCCCACAGATTACTCCACAGTTTTGAATTCATAGCAGTGCTTCTCCTAGAAGAATCCGGTCTATTTAACTATTTAACTCCTATCTGGGTAGAGAAAAGTCGGATTCATGCCTTTCCCAAGTACATTAATGTGAAAGTGAAAAAGATTAGGCTACTGATATACCTTTTTAAAAAGATGTTGCTACAAGTTGGTTTATAAGATGATTAACAGTAATATTAGAAACTACATATTATTATACTATTCCTGTATTTTTATATTTTTGTGTGCGGTTATCGATTGTCACATTTACGTTCAATAAACATTTTGGTGAGGAAAGCAATAAATCTTGAATAACACATTGGATAATTCATGTCTGCTAACATTTTCAATGTTAAAACAATATGATGAAATATGAAAAAAGTCATAAAATAACCTATAATGTCTTTAGTCGAGGATCTAACAACCTAAATAATACACTTTTATTTGCTTGACTTGAGATTTTCGCTTGGATTAAGAAAAAGAATGTTTACTGTTAAGACCTGTAATTTGGAACTCATCGGCAATTCTGAACTCGTTCATCACCCCTCAGAAGACCTTCTCACGATTTTTGACATGAATTTAATGAAGCATCAAATTTTACGGGAGACAAATCCTTGTCAACGGTAGGGTTAGGAATCCCCGATTATTGGATGACTGCCCACGCTTGATTGGATACAATGGAAAATGTTTAGAAGAATGAAAATGAAAACAAGATAAAAACAAGGGACATCATATTGAGATAATAATTGCAAGGCGGGGCTGAGTCTTTAATCAAGCAATGATTTTTATTACTGATAAGCCAATTGTTATAGACGTGATCTTCAGTTATTTTAATCGTTCATTACTGGTGTTTTGCCGTTCCGATGTGGGGAGTATATGAAAAGAAAGTGAAAATCAGAAGAACTACCAAATATTAGAGGAAAAACAGAAAAGATGAAAATAAATGGATGTCACTTTTTTGCCTCTTCATTTATGCCTCGCTCTATGCTTTCTTTACTGGTCTATTTGAATTGTTTGGGGGTTTTCTTTCTCTTCTTTCTTCCTTCTTTTTTCTTTCTCTTCTCTGCTTCAGATTTCTTCTTTTCTTCCTGATTTTTCTTTGTTCATTGCTTTCTATCATTAAACATTTCTGTTTTTATTTTCCTATTTCTTTCTTATTTTTTTATTCTTACTTTTCCATTTCTAAGCGTTCTTTGCAGAAAACGAGACAAGGAAGAAAGAAGAGAAAGAAAAAAGAAGGAAGAAAGAAGACAAGGAAGAAAGAGGCGAAGGAAGAAATAAGGGAAAGAAAAAAGAAGACAAGGAAGAAAGAAGACAAGGAAGAAAGAAGACAAGGAAGAAAGAAGAGAAGGAAGAAAGAAGAGAAGGGAGAAAGAAGAGAACAAAAAGAGAAGGAAGAAAGGAGGGAAGAAAAATCGAATGTGAGGAAAAAGGCAAAGCGAAATAATGAATACGTAACAATTTCAAAATGAAAAATAAAGCAAATAAAAATGATTGCAAATAAATTAAATTGCTGGCATGAAAAATAAAAGTAATTTATTTTTATTCTCTACCCTAATTTTATATTTAGGTCTAGAACATTTTTGCTTATTCCCTTTCTTTCTTTCTTTCTTTCTTTCTTTCTTTCTTTCTTTCTTTCTTTCTTTCTTTATTTATTTATTTATTTCTTCAGTTTTATTTTATCTTTCCTTTTTACTGACTTTTTATTATCTTTTTCTTTTTAGTCTTTCCACCTTTCCTTTTGCTCTTTCTTGTGCATCTCTCGTTCCTTCTGTTTCTAGTCTTTTCTAAAGGCCAATAAATGTTTCTCCCACTCTTTTAAACATAACTAGCAGACATGTCATCCATATTAAACGACCTATTCGTTTCTGAACACAAATGACAGTTGTCTTGAAATAGGGCCAATATTTCTATGAATAACACTCTTTTATAATGATTCTTTGTCGGTCAATTTACTTGCCTGATTAGATTTTAGTTGGTTGAGGCTTATACCGGGTCATTTCCTTGTGACAATGCCTTATGGCCGTTTATGGCAACAATTAAACAACGATTTTATAGATTATAAAATTACCTTTTTTTAGGGCTGTTCAACCACCAAAGAGATTTGATTGCAAGGACAGATAAACTGTTTATACCCGCCCCCCAAATTATGCCTTTTCTTTCTATCCAATCATTTGTTTACGTTGATTTAAACAATGACTTTCTCAGTGGTATGTATGGCTCTTGCGTCTTTCTTTTCTACCGCATACCAGGGAGGCACAGAGGCGGGCAATGGTTTGGACGCTTATTTTAACATAAAATAAACTAAATAACCGCTTCACCGCATCACTAAAAACGTTTTTCTTTTTCTTTTCTTTATTTCTTTTTTTTTGTTTGACAGAAATCAGTCTTTACAGGCCGTACACAAACGTAAAAAATGTAATTTAAGGGACAATATTAACTGCTTACTGTAGTAATTCTTCTCCTACTATCCTAATAACCACACACATACACACGCGCGCGTGCACACACAGACATACACACACACACACACACACACACACATATATATATATATATATATATATAGAGAGAGAGAGAGAGAGAGAGAAGAAGAAGAAGAAAAATAGAGTAAAATGTAAAAAAGTCTTGTTTACAATAATGAAACACAAGTAGGTCTTTTTTTAAAGAGCAATGTTTATGTAATGAAATATGTTACATTTTTTATCAGATTTGATATATTATTTTATGCAAAATACACATGTTGTCAGAATGATGAGGTTAATTTTCTTTTGAAATTTTCTGGTGTTCACGCTTTATAAAGATAATAACCATTTTACTTTTATTACTTATTTTGCTTTACTGTAATTTTTCAATCTCTACTTCAAAATAAAATCCTTATAAATCTTACATCTCCCGCGTTTTGCAAAAACTATGTGTACGTCTTTACATAACGCTAGGTGATATAGAATACTACTTGTGTGGTATTCGATATCTCAATGTGTATTTTAAATGAACGACATTAAAAATTTTTAAAAACAGAGAAGAATTCTTGTGGCACACCATGTTTAACTGTCGAGACGAGCGAATGACTTACAGATGTTTTTTCATGAATCCTTTTTTTTACGGCTGTTCTGTTATTCTTATAAACAAAATTGCAACTATAATCTGAGAACAAAAACCCAACATCACGAAGATTTGTATCAATAATTGTGTAATATTAACCGTTTCCTTATAAGGAAACATTCGGAGTTCATTGATCAAGCAGCCAGTGTTACTTTCGATTGAAATTTAAAAAATCTGTCAGTTAAAACAATTTTTCAGGAAAATAGGTTTCTGAACTCCACTTATTGCTATTGACCTTGATAACCTTTTGTTTTGTTTGAAGTAGTCAACATCTTCATTATGTCATGTTTTGTTTTTCTCTTCGAGTTATACGTGATATGCAATTTAGTTGTTGCTGCGGCTGAGAGTTCTCAAGTGAGATGATTTGTTATTTGGTACTGTTCTTTGTATGCGAGTCTGTAGTGACAGTACTAAGTCCGATGATCCTCACTAAAACCTACAGGCTTCATTCACTCGAATCCATTTTTAACTTTATCTTAGAAAACGGTTCTACACAGCTGACTGTTTAGATATTTCTGAACGATTCAAGTGAAAGTCATGATCTGACGAGGTTATTTAAGAACATGACTCGAGTTTTTAGATTAATGTTTTGCTTTTGTAGCAATTTTCAATGTTTGACGAAACTATCCCGAGTGCAGTCTATTCTATATTCTCTTCTACTAAGTTCGTTACAACCGATCCATACACAGTGGTATGTAAAGTGTTTTGTTTTTGCTAACTGCTTTCAATCCAATTCCACATTAGATTTTCTGTTTTGGGAAGATTTATCTTGAGTCCTATTTCGTGGAATACTTGTTAGATCTTGATTTTTTGTTCAAGGGTCATTCTTACCCTAACTACGATACTTACATTATCAGCATAGCCCCCTACTCCTCATCATCAATAGAAAGCGTAGTCAAGTTACACAAGATCTGTTATTATTATTATTATTATAAAATAATAAATGAAGATTAAAAGTAAGGAAACCGTGACTCGGTAAAAGTTATGATTCACAGCAGAGTGTCACAAAATAATTGGATTAAAAAAGAGATGCAAGTTGAAACGTTTGTATGTAGCCTGCAGGTTACACTATTGATTTATAAGTATCAATATTCCAATTAAATTGCTTAAAAACGCTTCAATGCTTAAAAACGAAAAGATTTACCAAAGAAATTAGGGTCGTATTTAAACAGAGTAGATCAAGGTATAAAAGCAAACTGCGCTTTGTTGGTATATTTATGGGAGAAGAGTGCGAAATATGGACATCAAGTTTTTAAGGGCCTCCGTCCTGCAATTCCATTAATTCTCCAGTAATCTATATATAGACCCCGATAAACTAGTAGTGACAATTTAAAAGTTGAACATATCTTTAGCTTAGTAAACTATAACCGGTCTTTTGTGTATTCTATAAAATATAAAATTGATTCCATCAATAAAAAAATATTATTTTTTCTGAACGATACGAATTATCAGAACACAGTTTACTGTTTTGTCATTAAAGGAAGTCATATTTGATGGTGAACATCTCTGTTGTAATGTCCATATAACCACTCTGATGATGACTCATGTGAGCCGAAAGCTTAGATCGAGAAACTGCATAATAAAAAATATCCAAATTTTGGACAGTTTTTGTCTTTAATTTTTTTCCGAAACTATAGCCACTATACGAAGCTTTGAACGGCTCATGATCAAACATAACAGACATTCCTTGTTTGTTATATTTAACAATAAATATTTCAATAATGATCTGCTGCCCCAACACACACACACACACACACACACACACACACACACACACACACATACATATATATATATATATATATATATATATATATATATATATATTGGCGGTATCTACTAAAATTTGTCTTATGTTAATATAATGTTGTCTATTTGTAATATGTTGATCCTTATTTGCGCGAATTGCACTAGAATTTTACAAATTTGAAAGATTGTATCTCAACAATAATAATCAACAAACAACATCAAATTCTTACATTGGCCACGCATGAACCACATTTTCTTGTATGTTGATATGACATTTGTCAAATCTAGTGCAATTCACACACACACACACACACACACACACACATATATATATATATATATATATATATATATGTGTATATATATATGTATGTATGTGTGTGTTGGCGCGAGCGTGTTTGTGTTCGCGCGTATATGTGCGTGTTTGCGTGTAGTTTGCAAATGATTGCTGTCAAGTTACGAAGCACAAGAGGATTCCAAATATGGACAAGTAAAAGAAAACGTCATCAAGTTTAATAGTCAAAGACAACAGGAAGAATGTTGGTACTTCGATTGAGCCTGAGTTGCAGTATATCTGCTGAAATGACGAAATACCTCCCATTATATATATATATATATATATATATATATATATATATATATATATATATATATATATATATGTAAAAAGTCAAATGCATGCAGTACATGGTTGACCAGTGAAAATCAAATAACACAAAAGTAAAAATACCAGGATTTCTTTCTTTCTTTTTCTCCTTATCTCATTCTCTGATGAAGTTTCAATAAAAGTGGAACATGTTAGATTGATAAACGATTCCTAATTGTTCTTTATCTTAACATTCTGTCGGAATCCGATCCATATTTGATTCTAACTCCTCTCTCTCTCTCTCTCTCTCTCTCTCTATATATATATATATATATATATATATATATATATATATATATATATATATATATAAAGACATTAAAGAAGTACTCTTTGAGAAAACTACTATAAGCTGTGTATAAATGTATTTGAATAAAAATTAAAATTCGTTTCGAATCTGCAATGAATATTTTTTGTTCCAAAGAGCTAAAAACTTGCTGATGAATGATGGTCATTCAATTGAAAAAAAAAAAAGGGTAGGTGGAAGTGTGGACAAATGTTCCTCCTGTCGTTTGTCTTATAGGATTAGAACATCGGAGAGGCATTAGTTACAGGATTGATGGTGTAGGATACTCGACACCAGACTGCTTTTAATGCAGAGAAAACTAGAATAGCAGGAACAAGAAAACAGTGAAATTTTATTATGACTTTTCCCCTTTTTGCTTTCTCACTTGCGGCATCCGGATGATTTCATATAAATCCCATAAGCACTTGAGCGTAGTATTTTCGGATGGATTTCCTTCTACTTCCGACCAGGTTTAATGGTTACATATTGGATATCAATTCACATTTTTTTCTGTCTGACATTTTTCATTTTCTTTCCTTCTTTCTTTCTTTCTTTCTTTCTTTCTTTCTTTCTTTCTTTCTTTCTTTCCATTTGTATCACAAATCTATAAATGTGCTGGTTTGGTTAAAGCATTAGTGCAAAAACCAAGAGAGATGAAATCTCATGAAGCAGTAGAGATAAAAACAAATCTGATTTTTAAAAAAGATTTGGGTTTCCATCTGAAACA